TTTCCGATCGCGCACGTCGGCATCGCTCCAGCGCCAGCGGTGCGACAAGCATTTCGAAACAGAGCCGTTCAGACTCACGCATGTGCACCACTTGTTTCCAACACAACGGTGCCATGCATTCTGAGTTCCAGCGCGCGCGCACTTCCTCACCATCCTCATCAGCACTGTCGTTACCAGCATCGTACAGAGCATCATTGTCATCGCCATCATCGTCACCATCGTCGTCGTCATCATCACCACAATCGTTCCATTGCCATCCATGCTCAAGTTCAGCTTAGGCGTCCAGCGCGCTCCGCTCACGCCGAGGCCTCTGCTTCTGGGCGGGCAGCTGTCCAGTGGATCACCTCCCGCATGGCCGGCTCGGCCTTGCCTGGCGGGCTCCTCGGCATCGCCCTTCGGCTGCTCGTCTTCATTGCATCGGGCCTTGCGTTCGGCTTCCTGTTCGAGCGGTCGCACGTGTACGAGCCGGACGCGATTCGGAAACAGTTCGTCTTTCAGCGCAACATCATGCTGAAGATGTTCGTCGGCGCGGTGGGCGGCGCGGCGTTGTCGTTCTACCTGTGGGCGCACCCGCTTCTTTCCAAGTCGAGCGACATCATTGATCGCGTCCGCAGGTTCCGCAGTGGAACGCCACTGCCGCGTGCCGCGCTCGGCGGCGCGATCCTGGGCGTCGGCATGGTGTTGGGCGGCGCGTGTCCAGGGATGGTGCTGCCGCAGGTCGGCACTGCCGTGGGCAATGCACACATCACGCTGCTCGGTGGCTTCGTGGGGGCGCTTGCACACAACCTCTGGGAGTTTGCGCTGGGATGGTGGCGTCGGAGGAACCAGCCGCGCGCCGTTGCCGCCGGGCTGCCTTCCGCGGGCAGCGACGGCGGCAGCGACGACGGTGACGCGGCCGCAGAGCGCGAGCGCAAGTACCGCGGCGACTTCCTGGACCTGCGCTTCGACCTCCCTTTCGACAAGTGCATGCTGGGGGTCTTCTTCGCGTGCGCCGCGTTCTGCCTCGTCATGGAGCTGGCCATCGGCTTCGAGTCGGAGCTGGTGCCAGGCACGACGGGCGCCTGGCCCCCGAGCCTGGCGGGGTTTGGGATCGGGCTGGTGAACCTGGTCAGCCTGGGCGCGGCGGGCGCCAGCACGGGCAGCAGCAAAGCCTACGCGCAGGTCATGCTTCACGACGTCTTCCATGGTGCCTTGGAGCAGGGAGTGTGCGAGTCGGGGCAGCGGACTCCGAGCGTCGGGGGCGGCTCGAAGGGCGGTAGCTCGAGCAGCGTGGACTGGTTCAACGGCGCGCTGGAGCGGCACTGGCAGGTGCCGTACTTGTGCGCGAGCGTGCTGGGTGCGTTCCTCTCTCATGAGGTGGCGGGGAACGCAAGTGCGCAGGGCGTGAAGCAGGAGGCGATTGCCTTCGTTGGCGGTTTCCTGATGCTATTCGGGAGTCGCCTGGGCGGCGGTTGCACGAGCGGCCACGGCATCGCGGGCATGCCTCTTCTTTTTATCCCGTCGGTCGCAGCTGTCATATCTATGTTCGGCGCCGGGATTCTGACTGCGCTCGTGATGGAGGGACAGCAACAGTTGCAGCTGCAGAGTACACGGTAATAGTTGCTACACGAACTACTCGTGGACAAGGTTCGACAGGCCTTGGTTGCGCTATTGACGTCGCGCATGCGGGCGCAGATGAGCTTCATTTTTCAGTTCAGACGCTGACCGGTCAGGCGCTAAATCCAATTCGTGTTGATAACGCTGCGATAACCCGTGCGCTCACCTTGCTATCATTTTTAAGAGTGTCTGTGGCACACAGGTCCAGTCTTGATTCGTTGTCTTGCATCTGAGAGTGCTGAGCTGCTCCATGCGTGCCGGGCGTGTCTACGAGCAGGTCACGGTGAGGAGCTTCCAGCCCAGCTAGGTCCTGAGTAGGGCCTGGCCACACACTGCGAGCACGGAGGGGCCCACCATTCCCTGCACAGTGCAGAAACCCGCGTAGATGCGGTTGCACCATTCCCTGCACAGTGCAGAAACCCGCGTAGATGCGGTTGCACGAACGAAGGTTGTTGTTTTTTTGATTATCTGCAGTTTATCATCACTCAGAGGGGGGAAAGGTACCAAAACTGCTACCTTCTGCCCGTTTTCCCCTTTTGGGGCTTCCTCGGAGGCCCTCGTCGCCACCGTTGGATTCGCCTCGGAATTCTGGTCAGAACGCACCCCAGGAGAGGTCCGGGGCGTAGCGGTATCGGTACCGCTTGGTTTCCCCAATCACCGCCGTCATCATCATCATCATCATCATCATCATCATCATCATCATCATCATCATCATCATCATCATCATCATCATCATCATCATCATCATCATCATCATCATCATCATCATCATCATCATCATCATCATCATCATCATCATCATCATCATCATCATCATCATCATCATCATCATCATTATCATTATCATTATCATTATCATTATCATTATCATCATCATCATCATCATCATCATCATCGTCGATGTAGGCATCCTCGTCAAATTTTTGCGCGCACACTAACTCATCATCGTTGCCAGCACCATTGTCATCATCGTCGCCAGCGCCATCGTTGCCACCGCCACTATCATCACCATCATATTCACCACCATCACGATCGTCGTCGTCGAGAGTGTCCCCACTGTCGTCATGAACGTCATCATCGTCATCGCCATCGTCATTATCGTCGCCCAGTTGAAAGCGTCTTGGAGCCTTTCTGGGCCGTCTCGGAGGCACCTTGGATTCCTTGCTGAGCTCTCGAGGCCTTTTCGGGGCCTCTGGGATCGTCTTCAGGGCCTTTTCGGGTCGTCTCCCTCTTGGGCTCTCTTTGCTGTCTGCTGGTGCCCCTACGGGAATGCAGGGGCAACCTATAGCTGCGAGGGGACGGGTGGCTGGCGGGCTCCCCTTAGTTGAAATAGGACTGAAGAAACAAGAGATAATGCACAACATGCATCAATACATACTGCCCGTGGTTGCCATGATCAGCGCCGTATCGTCCATGGAGCGGCCTATCAAGTTGGCGCGCGAGGGCGATCGCTTCCAGCGCCGTGCACGAGACCTCGCCAGAGTATACTGTGAGGCGTAGTCGGGGGTCTGGATTCTGCGAAGCATGGTTTCGGCAGGTTTTGATTGCCCCCACCACATTGCTAGAACCGCGGCAGTCGCTTCCAGCACCCGGGCTTCGGCCCGCGTCGGACAATTTGGGATGATGGTGGTTAGCCCCAGCGTGACCTCTTTCCAGGGTTCTCTCATCGTCAGCTTCGCCGTATCGAGAGCCAATATTCGGACGCCAAGGACGACTTGATGCACAAGGCAAGAGAGCACAGCACGGTTCACCATAGTATGCAACATCACAGTTCAGCACGGCACAGCACGGCACAGCACGGCACAGCGCAATGGAGTACAGCACAGCTCTTTGCACGGAATCATCACCATGAATATTTTCAGCAGTGCCATTGCCCATCGACCAAGTTGCCTGTGTTGAAACGTTTCTAGGCTTCGCGCTTGTGTAACCCGGTCCGGGTTGCTGGGTCGATGATGTTTTGCGTCGTGCTGGAGGGATGTTGTCCGGGCAGCGCTTGCAGCGTCCAAGCAGCTCTGCGTACGCCAGCACTACGAAGCACACGTGTGGCCCGTGCCTCCCTGACTGCACACGCAACGAGGAGTTCTCGTGTTGCCTGGGTCCCCTTCGGCTGTCTATCTCCTCATCGAACGGTTCGCGCAAAGAGCACCAGCCAGCAGTCCAGCAGAAATTCTAGACGCTTCGCGTACCCCCACCAGACCTGGGGCGCAGTCTGGCAGGGACGTGCTCGCCGGTCTGGCGCCCCGTCTTTCGCCCACCGGCAGTCCACAGCCGACGGCTGGTGATAGCGTACTGGCCCACGTGACGTTCCCCCCTTGTGCATTGGTGTTTCTACTCGACTGCACGTCTAGTCCGCTGGTGCCTGGTTCTGTGATGCCAGCTTCGAGCGCATGAGGTGCTCCGTGAGTGAGGCCTTGCCCCCATTCTGCTTGCCTGCGCTGCACTTTCACGGGCGGGCGTGCCAGGGTTGCAGATGCCCGCTGTGCCCTGCCCTTCGCCGTCCGGTCTGCCGGGTGCTGGCGCCACTGCGCGACGCCCCGCTGTCAGTCGTTGGCTGCCGTTTTGGAGCGGCTTAGTGAGGTTCATTTTGTTCCTCGCATGTGCATTCCGGCGTTGGCTTTTGGCCCGCTGGCAATTATCTTGCTTGCTGCCCCAAGCTTGTTCGACCCTCTCTCTGGAATCTTCCTTGGAGCCGCAGATAAGAAAAAGACCCACCAGGCCGTCCGGAAATGAGCCCCAGGGGAGTGGAGGTGATGAGGGGAGCGGGGGAGCATGCAGAAGAACAAACGGCGGGTAAGCCGCCATATTCCCCAAGAGGGGGAGGATGTAGGAGTAGTCGTGGTCGTCGTCGGAGTAAGTTTAGCTGTCTATCTCCTCATCGAGCAGTTCGCGCAGAGGGCACCGGCCAGCAGTCCAGCAAAACCTTCGCGGCCTTCTCCCCCTCCGGGGGGGTCGGCGGATGCCCGCGCCACGCGTGCGTGCGCCCCGCGTGCCGCCTCGCACATCTCCTCCTCCACCTCCTGTGGCTCCCGCGGCGCCTCCCGTTCCTCCACTCGGGGATGCGTTCTCTGCCAGGAGCCCTGCGCAGAGCCTTTTCCTCCTCCTCCTCCTTCTCCACCTCCTCCTCCTCCTCCTCCTCCTCCTCCTCCTCCTTCTCCTCCTCCCACCCCCTCCCCCCCCTCCTCCTCCCACCCCCTCCCCCTCCTCCTCCTCCTCCTCCTCCTCCTCCTCCTCCTCCTCCTCCTCCTCCTCCCCTCCTCCTCCTCCTCCTCCCCTCCTCCTCCCCCTCCTCGTCCTCCTCCCCTCCTCCGCCTCCCCTCCTGCTCTCTCCCCTCCTCCTCCTCCTCCTCCTCCTCCTCCTCCTCCCTCCTCCTCCTCCTGCCTGGGCGCGCGCCTGCGCGCCGCAGGCCGGGCGCGCCCGGGCTCTCCTGAACGGCCGCGCCAGGGGCTGCGTGCGGCTGCCGGTGAAGCCGTGCGGCTGGGCGATCCGTCCGCCCTGCCCCTCTCCTCGCTCCTTCCCAGGAGGACGAGGAGGGGGAGGGGAGGAGAGGAGGAGGAGGAGGAGAGGAGGAGGAGGAGAGGAGGAGGAGGAGGAGAGGAGGAGGAGGAGGAGGAGGAGGAGAGAGGAGGAGAGGAGGAGGAGGAGGAGGAGGAGGAGGAGGGAGGAGGAGGAGGAGGAGGAGGAGGGAGAGGAGGAGGAGGAGGAGGAGGAGGAGGAGGAGGAGGAGGAGGAGGAGGAGGAGGAGGAGGAGGAGGAGGGAGGCGGGGGGGGGAGGGGCGGTGCAGGGCTTGTGGCTGGTCACGCGCGTCATCGCAAAAATACAACTTTTCTTTGCGAAGAAGAAAATCAGTATGTTTAACCGACCCCCATCCCCATCCGCATCCCCTTCGAGACCCCCACAAAATTACCCTTCCAGTTGGGGATGCACCCCTCGAAACCCGAGGGGAACGGCCTATATATATATATATATATATATATGTACATATCCCCATCTAGGGGGGTAGATCGGCCAGTGGGGCCCAGGCCACGCCGCTGGGGATGGGGATCGTTTAAACGATACTCACCCTCCCAGGGCTCGTTTCTATTTTTGTGAATGGATCTCTCGAGCTCTCCGCCGCCTCTGGCGGTGTGCGTTGCACGAGCAGGACCACTGCAGAGCCGCAGGAGAGCGCGGCATTGACAGTGCAGCTCCGCACACGTGACAAAGGTTAACGAGCAAGAGCACAGCAACGCCCCAGGAGAGCGAGGCACTGACGGTGCGGCTCCACATTGACGCGGTGGTGGCCAGGGAGCCCTCGCTCCCTCCTGGGGCTCGTTTCGACTCCTCCGATTCGATGCGACTCGACTTCGATGGCTTCCGATTCCGATTCGAGTCGACTTCACATTCCGATCTGTCGAGGGCGTAAAAAACGCCCCTACCCTGGTTTACGAGACGCTGTGCGCTGAACCTCCTGTGGGCTGACAGGGTATGCCCTGCATATCGCGCGTGTCGCGCGGCGTCCTGGTGGCTCTCTGGCCTCTGGGAGCTCCCAGGAGGTTTACAGACCACGCACTTGTAACCCAGGGTAGGGGCGTTTTGGCATCCCTTAAATCTGGGAGCCGATTTCTTTTTTTGGGGGCCTACTAGCCTGCCGATGTCTGCCGATTCGACTTTTCCCCCTCGGCCGCCGATTTCCGCCGACCCGATTCCTTTCGGTCGCCGATCCGACTTATCGATCCGTTCACCCTGCCCCTCTCCCTCACTGAGAAGAAGAACAACAAAAACCACAACATACACTTTTGGCGCTTCGCGCGGATGTCTTGTATCCGCGCTGGACCCCCCTCCCAGGCGCGCGGAGCGCGCCAGGGGCGGCGCCGGAGGCGCCGCCGGGGGGACCCAGCGCGGATCCAAAAAATCCGCGCGGAGCGCCGAAAATTTATGTTTATGGCGTTTTTTCTTCTGTCTCTCCCTCCCCTTCCAATTTTCTTTGTATTCTTATCGATTTGTTTATCTGACTCTCTCCATCTTTTTGTTTGTTCTCTATCTCTTTCTCTCTCATCTTCTCACGGACACACGTTGAGGCCGCCCGTGTAGCATGTCTGTCGATTCTCAGTGAAGAAGAGATGACATGCTCATCGGACTTTGGTCTTGTACCTGGTGGCAAGGGGATCTCCACACGAGATCTTCTAGGCCCTCCAGCGGTGCTGTATTGAAGTTGCGGAGCCTTGTTTTGTCAATCGGGCTACGCTCGACCTGCTCCACGTCGTATGCTCAACGGCGGCATCTTCTTCGAAAGCGTCAAAACCTTTGTGTGGAGATTGCCAGGAGGCGAACGACGCACAGCTAGAGGAGGTGGTCGATGGCAATACGCGGGTCCCCTTGGCTGACCCTAAAGGGCAGCGGCGAGTACCTTGTCGAGGCTAGCTGCTGCGTAATTCACCTGAATGCAGAATGCACTCGACATAATCGAAAGGCAGAGGTAATGTGCTTGTTCAGTCAGGCTGCCAGCGCTTGGGCCAGACCGATGTGCAGACAGCCGATGGTCACCTGGACCGGATCCAGAAACGATGCCCAGGGGAGTTGCGGTTGGAAGCTGTCAAGGCGAACGCGTGCGGCGGTAGGCGAGAGCTTCGCTTTGACGAGACCCCGCCCTCCATCTTTGTAGCACGTGGATGCTTCATGCTTTGTTATCACCAGGGGCTGAGGAGGTGTCAGACCAACCGCCCGCCGCCCGCCCTACGGACACGCCTGTGATGTGCGACGGGGAGGAGCTATCTACCAGGAGGGGTTGGATGGGGTTGGAGGAGGATGAGGATGATGGGCCTGTTTCCCACCACCACCACCACAAGTTGGAGGGGGAGGGTGTCCTCCTCCTCCTCCTCCTCCTCCTCCTCCTCCTCCTCCTCCTCCTCCTTGTTCTCTTCGTCGTCGTCCTCCTCCTCCTCCTCCTTACCCCCTCCAACTTCTGGTGGCAGTGGTGGAAACTAGACCCATCAGAGGATGAGGATGATGAGGGGTGCCGAGGCTGCGGCGTCGGCGGCGATGGGCTTGCTGGCCAGGGGGGGGGGGGGGGGCGGCGGATGGCCTTCCCGGGCCACGGGCGCAGGTGACCGCGGACGCCTCCAAGGCGGGCGGGCCCAAGTACCTGGTGCGGGCCGGCGCCCCCCGATGGCCCGCGCCCGCGACCCTCGCCCGCGCGCGCTCCCCTTGTCGGGGGGGGAGGGGGGGGGGCAGGGCTGCAGGGGCTCGTGTCGATGCCTCCGACTCGACGCGGTTCGATTCCGAGGGCCTCCGATTCCGATCCTGTTCGGCTTGGGATTCCGACTGGGGTTCCGACTTCTTGCTGGAGGCATTTTAGTCTGCCGATTTCCACCGATTCGACTTATCCCGACACGGCCGCCGATCTCCGCCGATCCGATTCCTTTCGATCTCCGATCCGACTTGGCGATTTGATTCTGGGCTCTCCTGGGAGGAGACGACCAGGAGGAGAGGGCCAGAGGAGGGGGGAGGCATGAGCAGGTAGTGGGGCGGCGGAGGGAGGAGGGGACGAAGAGGGAGGCAGGTCCGAGGCTGGAATTTACACATGACCACCGCCTGGAGGGTCAGTTTTCGGAGCTTCGGCAGGCGGTGGATATAGACATTTTTGGGCCCCCAGGGGCCGAAATATATCCATATCCTCCGCCCGCTAGGGCACCATGACGTCGGTTCCCAGGCGGTGGATATGAATAAGTCCCTGCCTCGCAGGCAGGGGTCATGGCGCAGCGCAGCCTGTGGCGCAACCTGCGGAAGGTAGACGCACGGTGGAAATCATGATTGCGAAGGCTTTACAGCCGGTGCCGACGACCCTGAAGTGTGACGACGACGACGACGACGACGCCGACGCCAACGCCGACGCCGACGCCGACGCCGACGCCGCCGCCGCCGCCGCCGACGCCGACGACGACGACGACGACGCCGACGACGACGACGACGACGACGATGACGACGACGACGACGACGACGACGACGACGACGATCACGACGAAGACGACGCTCGTGAGCCCTCGTGGGTGGCCATGCGGGCCCTGTTGGCCTCTTTTGGGGGGCCTTTTACGTCGTCCAAGGGGCATTTTTGGGCCGCCTTTGGGTCCTCTTTGGCCGTCTTTTAGCTGTCTGGAGCCCTTTTGGGCCGTCTTGGGGCGATATGGGGGGCCTGCTTGGGCCGTCTTGGAGCGTCTGAGGCCTTGTAGCAATCTGGAAAAAAAGACTTAAGGACATTCATGATTTAGACCCCTTGGGCTCTGTTGGGGGTGCTCGTGGGGCTGCTTTGTTGCGTCTTGGGTAGCTCTGGGGCTTTCTTGGAGGATCTGTGGCTCCTCTCGGGGCTTTCCGTTTGTCTCTCGGGGCAGAGGGTTTCAAATGTTGGTTGGTGGTCACCCTCTTGCGGTTCTTTGGGGCTCCCCTGGGCCGTCCTGGTCGGAGAGGGGGGAGTCACGACTCCCGGGCCCCCTTCCGGGACCCTCCCCCGGCGACCCCCCAACGGGACCCCCCCCTCCTCTTGGTGGGCAAGGGATCAAAGGGAAGAGGCTTCACTTCGACTCGATTACGACGTTGTTCGCTTCCCGTCTGGCTGGATCTCTTGAGGAGGGTCCAGGGAAAGGGGCAAACTGGCGACGATGGCGACGACGACGATGATGACGACGGCGGCGAAAACGGAAAAGGTTGATACCGATGTTGTTCGATTGCCTTCTGATTGCTTGAGGAGGAAGGTTCAGGGAAAGGGGGAGACGACGACGACGACGACTCAAACGGCGAAGGGGAGCGGCGACGGCGACGACGACGACGGACTCAAACGGAAAAACGTTTCTCACACGCCGCGAGGGGCGGTGGATTTTCGTGTGGGCCAGGGTGTGTGCGCGATCGAGGTTTGCGCGATATTTCGCGGGTCATACAGATCGCGCCCCACGCGAGCAAGGGTTTGTGCCTCCAGTTGAGAGGCGAGATGGACCCGATTTATATAAGGAGCGGCCGCCTTCTAGCTAGCAATGCTGGTTATCGATATTCGCTGTACTCCTCGACCGGATCAGGGCGTTTGACCAGATTGTTCGAGAGTTAATGGTTGGCTTCCATGATATCCCTGACCCGTTGCAGCATGTGTGCGGTGTCGGCATCGATTTCGACACCGCTACTTGGCTAGTCAACTACATTCGAAGCATTGGCGATATGTTCCAGCAGTGGTGTGTTCCACCGAAAGTCACCAGGCTTGTGGCTAAATTGCACCAGTGGTCCTGGTTCTCCTACGGTGATCAGCCTGGTTCTCCTACGGTGATCAGCCCAAAATTGTCGCCGGCAAGTTGGGGGGGAGGCAAGGGTGCGTCCTCGGTGCGACCATGTTTGACTGTGATTATGCTGTTCCGCCGCACGTTTTGCAATCGGAACTTGCCGATGCGGGGATTTTGTTGCGATCGCATTACTCCCTGGACCCAGTGTGGGAATCGACGCGTCCAGCTCCGGCGGAGAACGTCATGGACGCCACGTTTGTTGACGACAAAGCGGTTGTGTTGACAGCTGAATCCCCTGCTTTGCTCGATCGTGCCATTCATTTAGTTGTGTGGACGGTGCGACGCACATGTACATTGTTTGTTCTCAACCTCAATTGGTCCCCTGGCAAAAGCGAGTGCCTGCTCAGGTACCAGGGGCGAGTTGCCACGAAGTTTTGGGCTAAGCGCAGGCACGGAGATGGATGTTACATCTCCTTTCGGCGGTGCCCCGACATCTAGCTGATCATCGTTGAACGTTACAAGCACTTCGATAGGTACAACAGCCTGAAAGGCACTTGCCTTACGGATGGCAGCCACCGCGCTGATTCGGCGATGAGTGCATATGTGCCGCTGGCACACGATTTTTGGCAGCCCTGTCGTCGCCGTGTCCATGAAACACCATGTGAAAGAGTCGCGTGTTCATGGCCGCCTGTTCTTTCACACCCAGTGCGTGGTCGTGACCGTGCCCTTCGTGCGCGCGTTGAATCATGCTGACGTGCGTGTCATTCGGCGGATTCGCGGCTGTCCTCAGCTTGATGCATCATGTGAGTTTACACCGTCCGTCGGCGTCACCAGATCGACCGTGTTGATTGTATCATACGGAGGAGGAGGTTCTGTTATCTTGCCCTTCTGAGTGCGTGCCACCGGATACCATTTCTCGCTTTGTTGTCTGACGCGCGTGGTGGGAAAGTTCACCCAGGGGTTGCTCAAATCCGTGACGACTTGCGCTACATATGCCAGCGGCTTCCGTTGCCAGATCAGCTTCGCTGCGCCGACCCTGATGCTGATGCCGGCCGTTGGCAAACATTCATGGTCGAGCATCCCTCGGAAGGGGGGGCGACTAATCAGTCGCATTCGTTTCTGCGAGTCCGCATGCGATAAGGACGCGCCGCCCCAGGGGAACACAAAAGACGGAATCCGATGTCGCTGATTATCGCTGATATCAGTGTTTGTCCGTCCTGTGGCGCAGACTTTCGGCAGAGGCACAGATTGCTGCGACATCTTACGGACAGGAGGCGGACCGAGTGTCAGCAAGCGGTTCTGGACATGGGTTTGCCCTCTCAGCCCGAAGCTGAGTTACAGAGGTTGGACGCCCAGACCCGACAGCTAGCTGCAAATAGTCGCCGGGAGGGTCACAGCCACCCCCTTTCCAGCGGTACAGCGCTCACGGCAACCGGAGAAAGGATTGGACGCGCCCTGTCGGCATACTCCACCATTTGGTGTACAGTTTTCTTCGGCATGCACTTGAGACATTCGAAGAGTACCCCTCGGCAACAAAATGGGGCGGGGTGTCTGGCGCATCCCCTGGCCAAACTTTCCCAAACATCGAATGTTGGAAGGGTTCTTTCTGAAGCGTTTTTAGCGTGGGCCCCAACGATTGAAGCAGTACAGTTTGCGTGGTGCAATGCAGAGCACCACAGCGCCAATCCAATCACATTCGATCTGTGTGGGTCAACAGCATGTTTGTCAGCGTGCAGCCCAAACAGTCGGTAGTTTCGTTTTCGTTGGGTAACATGTGAGGCAAACAATTGCGTAAGTTTGACCGCATCAGTGCATGACCACCTCCAATGCCGGTGAAAACAACCCACCTGCCCATCGGCAATGTGTCGCCAAAGTTCAAGAGTGTTTGAGTGAATTTGCTCATCCGAAGTAGCTTTGAATTCGTGACAGGCGCAACAACGCGCGAACCCTGCTCATGCATATGCATGATTCAGGCGGGCGGGCGGTGATGGTGACGACGACATTGGCGACAACGACCTTGATGACGATGGTGACTCCGGTGGAAATGATGACGAGGGCGACGATGTCGACTATGACGACGATGACGACGATGACGACGGTGGTGATGATGTCGACAGCGATGGTGATGAGGATGATCACGATGGCAAGAACGACTCTGGCGATGCTGATGACGGTGGCGCTGGTGAGGATAATGAGACAGTGCGCGCGCGGGTGCATGTATTCAAACTTGCGGGCGTACGTTCAAATAACACCATCAGGGTTGTTTCGACCGCATGTGTGTCGATACGCCTCTGTGGACAACGGTTTTGAGCGGATTTCGACGCGCGCGCGGAAATGCGCACGTGTGGCCCGTCTTGTGCTCTTCGACGGGGTTGGCGGGTGCGCGACGACCGTGGAGCGTCTTCGGTATGTGCGGGCGCGAGGCCCGAGTGACATCGTGTGACAGTCGTCGAGCACCTCATGTCGTCTTGTGGCTTCTGCGAATCCGTGCGCGCGCAGAAGTGTGGCCATTGCTGTCCGATTCTGGACGCCTCGCGCATCCCCACTGGCCCATCCAGAAACGAGGTCCAGGCGAGTTAAGAGGTGATCAGGGAAGTGCGGGAAACAGGAGGTGGACGGCCGAACCGTGCGAAAGAGGGAGGAGGAGGAGAAGGAGGAGGCTGGATGGATGTATGAGGAAGTGGGGAGAAGGGATATTGATATGATGATGATTCTGATGATGATGATGATGATGATGATGATGATGATGATGATGATGATGATGATGATGCTGATGATGATGATGATGAACATGAACATGAACATGAACATGAACATTATGATGCTGCTGCTGATTATGCTGATGATGATACTGATGATGATGCTGATGATGCTGATGATGCTGATGATGATGATGATGATGATGATGATGCTGCTGCTGATGATGATGATGCTGATGATGATGCTGATGCTGATGCTGCTGCTGCTGCTGATGATGATGATGCTGATGATGATGATGATGCTGATGATGATGATGATGATGATGATGATGATGATGATGATGATGATGATGATGATGATGATGATGATGATGATGATGATGATGATGATGATGATGATGATGATGATGATGATGATGATGATGATGATGATGATGATGATGATGATGATGATGATGATGCTGATGATGATGATGATGATGATGATAAGGAGGACGAGAAGGAGGAGGAGGAGGAGGAGGAGGAGGAGGAGGAGGAGAAGGAGATGGAGTAGGAGGAGGAAGGAGGAGCACGAGGAGGAGGAGGGCAAGCAAAAGGGCCAGAGGTCTCTTTGATGCCTCTCGGAACCTCTTGGGATATCTCTTGGGCGCTTCTTGGAGGCCTGCTGGGACTTCTTGGGGGTCTCTCGGCAGTCCTGTGGGGCTTTTGGGCAGCTTGGAAGCCTCGCGGAGGCCTTTTGGGGCCGCTTGGGCCCGGGGGCCTCTTGGGGCCATCTTGAAACCATCTTTGGGCCATCTCGGGGCCTCTTGGGGCCTCCTCGGCGCCTCTTGGGGCCATCTTTGAGGACATCAGCCGACGGGGGGTTCCTCAGTTAGCCTCCCACCCACATCACCTCTTGGGGCGCTTTTGGGGCGCTCTTGGGGCCGTCTTGGGGCTCTCGGGGCTTCTCTTGGGGCCCTCATGGGCCCGCTTGGAGCTGTCTGGAGGCCTCGGAAGGCCATCGCAAGTGAAAAGGTGAGAAGGTATAATTCATTTATTCCCAACAATCCTGTGGTGTTGGGTCTTCGTTTTGAAGAGACGGTCACCGCGTTTCTCCTCCTTCCCTTCCTCCCTCCCCCTCCTCCCTCCTCCCTGCGTTTCACCCACCCAGTGCAGCGTTTCGCGGCCCCATGGGGAGCTCCACCGAAGCCCCCAGTGGGACCGTCCGCATGCGTCGCAGAAGCCCAATTTGGCATTTTCGCCCATCCAGTACAGCTCTTCGTGGCCCCATAGGGAACTCCACCGAAGCCCCCAGTGGGACCGCCCGCATGCGTCCCGGAAACCCAATTTGGCATTTTCGCCCACCCAGTACAGAGTTTCGTGGCCCCATAGGGAGCTCCACCGAAGCCCCCCGTGGGACCGCCCGCATGCGTCCCGGAAACCCATTCGGGCATTTTCACCCACCCAGTACATTGTTTTGAGGCCCCACAGGGAGCACCATCGAAGCCCCCAGTGGGACCGCCCGCTGCGCCCTGGAAGCCCAATTTGCCATTTCCACTCACCCAGTACATTCAGCGTTTCGTGGCCCCGTAGGGAGCTCCACCGAAGCCCCCAGTGGGACCGTCCGCATGCGTCCCAGAAGCCCAATTTGGCATTTTCACTTGCCCAGGAGAGCGCTTCGTGGCCCCATAGGGAACTCCACCGAAGCCCCCAGTGGGACCGCCCGCATGCGTCCCAGACACCCACTTTGGCATTTTCGCCCACCCAGTACAGCATTTCGTGGCCCCATGGGGAGCACCACCGAAGCCCCCCGTGGGACCGCCCGCATGCGTCCCGGAAACCCATTCGGGCATTTTCATCTGCCCAGTACAGCGTTTCGTGGCCCCATAGGGAGCTGTACAGAAACCCCGCATGCGTCCCGGAAGCCCAAATTGGAATTTCCACTCACCCAGTACAGCGTTTCGTTGCGCATCTTCGGATATCTTGTGCAATCTTGGAGGTCAGCTGGGGCTCTCCGAGGCCCTCTCGGAACCACCTTGGGCCATCCTGGACGCTCCAACGACCCGCGAGTCGCCCCGTCCAGGTCCAGGGGAGGGGGCACGGGGGAGGGGTGAACCCCTCCCCGCAGGGGAAGAGGGAGGGGTGGAAGTTCCGGAGGAGGAACCGCCTTAAACCACCTACGCCCAGAGGGTTGGTGGGACTAGCAGAGGATTGCCGTCAGCGAGTCGCTCCTTGTTGGAGTTGTGAGAGAGTCAATGTCTCTTGACTGATGTTGGCACGCGCGCGCGTCTGCTCGCGCACCCCCCAGAAGTCAGCAGCCGGCCGAGCAACGGCAAGGCTGTTTGCCGTGACCGCCCTGTCGGACAACACATTGGTTCCTGAGAGTTCCAAGCCCTCCAATGAGCTGGGGCGTGTCATGACAGCAGTCTTCGGTCTTCGAGGCCCTATCGGGGACATCTCCAGGGCGATCCAGCAGCGGTGCCTCTGGCGCGATCGCGCTTCTCTGACGGTCTCGGACGGTCTCTGACGGTGCTTCAGTGCCGCGTGTTTCCTACGGTAGCGGCCCCCCCCAAAACGAAAAAGAGAGCCCAGAATACGCAAGCATGCTGGACCATCGAAACAAGTACGCAGGACCAACCGAACAACTACCTCACAGTCAGTCAGACAGGACATCGCAGCAAGTAAACATGACCTCTCCAAACCGTAGACAGGACCACACCAACAGTAATCAGGACCATCTTCACCGTCATCATCACTTTCGCCCTTGTCATAGTCGCCACGACACTCGCTCATGATTTCAACATCGGGTCCGTAAGCAGTGTTCCCCCCTTGGGGATTGTCTGACGCGATCTTTCAATCAAGGCGCCTCCTGGGTCGTTTTGGTGTTCGGTTGGGTTACGGCCTCGAGGCGCTGTGTGCCCGACCACTTCACGGGCAAGCTTGTGTTCTGCAGTGCGCTGGTGGGATTATGTCAGGGCTCTCTTTGCGCTTTTTAGCCATGCGATCCTCGTGGATTTTCTTGGAGCCCTCTTGGGCCTTTCTTCGATTTTTGGTTCGGTGCCCTCTCCAGGTCTGTCGGGGTCTTTCGGTTGTGGCCCTCTTGGGGCTAGTCGGCGCTTTCTCGGCCGCCTCTTGGGCCCCCAGGGCTTTTGTCCCCTCACGCCGACCACCTTGAAGCGGTCCCAATCAAGGCTCCTGCGGCCCAAAGGAGGAACCCAGGCGAGCACGTTCACCATCCTCGAATACCTGTTGCTTTTGAATTTTTGTTGGCCCCTCTATGGGCCTGGGCTTCCTCGGGAGGCTCTGGAAGCGTCGTGCACCCATCACCCATCTTGAGGCCCATCTTGAGGCATGCCATCTGGGGCCGTCTTGGGCTGTCTTGGAGGACATATCTGGGAATATTGGGCCGCAGAGGAACCATATTGGACCATTTTGTTGGCCTTCAGGGCCTGAGGGCTCGGTTTGGGGCTTGTACGATTGGGCCCAGGAGGCCCGTTGATGCATGCATGCGATCCCCAGTACTCCGGATCCCCGTGCGTGGAGCGTACAGCTACCCCAGCTCACGGCCTCGTCATCCCCTGCGTGCGGGGGTCGGTACATTTCGTGCATGCGAGGCCCCGCTCGGGCCTCCCGTTGGCATCCCCTCTGGCGGGCCAGCGGCGACCCGCGCCCAGTCCGGACCCCGCAAGGCGAGCGGTGCACGCCTCCGACGTCATAGTCCGCGCCGGGGAGGCGCTCAACAGCAGCGAGGCGCGGTCCTCGCCCGTGAGCGCGCTCGTGGGGCTCATGCTCGCGGGGTGGGGAATGGGAATGGGGAGGGGGAGGAGGATGGAGGAGGAGGACGGAGGAGGACGAGGAGGAGGA